GGAATCTCATCAATGTAAGATTTGACAAATGCATGGCGTGTTATTAATAATATTGTACAGTCAACTTACCTGTATAATAGTATAGCCTCTATATCTTCTTTTAGTATAGAGAATGGAGCTGTGATACGTACAGCCAAACTATCAATAGTGGGAATTTTCCCATCCCATAATATATAATTAATCAAACCAAGTGTCGTCTCTGTTAAGATCGAGCAAATTAACACATGCATGTTTCTTTGGGACATGTAGAAACATAGCGGGCCCATTTCATGACAATCAATCACCGCCGGCTGCTTCTTTAATTTCCAGAATTCGTTAAATATTAACGAGAAAGCCAGCTTTAGTGGTTAAAATTTCTCACCGGCGCCGGTCAATTGGCTTTAGTCAGATCGTGAAGTTTCGCGGCGCCTGTTACAAAGTGAAGTTTCAGCGTGGAAAAGTAAGGCCCCCGGCTTAGAAAGTTCCACGCGATAATGCATGCAGGGAAGCTGTCAACACGGTACGTACAGGTTAGGTTATCTAGTAATTTATAATAACCATTGCACCACTGATACTTTCTACCTTTTTCTTATCGAACGAGTTTAGTTACCGAGCCAGGATGTAACCAGCTAATGATAGCAATTTTGAATGGTATTACCCGAGCTGATCCATGGTGAACGGGTAATATCTCACTCGTAATAATGTAGAGCGGGGCATCGCATGGGTACTATTTTCCCTTTTGTCCCTCCCTGTGTTTTTACCCGACTTTACTTTAATTTGGCTCGATATCTGTTTTTATTTCTTTTATTTTGACTCATATCTTAACTCATGTTTTCACCCTATGAAACTTTAGATAAGGGCAAGGCTTTATATTTGAACTAATCGGACTCAATTAATTTACCTATTATTATTATCTCTATTTATCATTTATGGTCTATTTTCTCTTTGGTTTATCATAAACATTTTCTTCAAATAATATATAAGAAAGAGCCGACATGTCTCAACCTAACCCGTGTTTGGTGCGGACGAGTATGAATATCGAGACACTATGTCCTACTAAACTAGATTCTCTTAAAAATAAAACTAATCACCCTAAACAAACTTTGTTACCTTAACTATTTTCTCATATACATTGGCGCTGGTCGTTGTCGTGGCTGCTGCTTTTCGAACAACTTTTCTTTGTCAAGCCATTGTTAAAACTCAAAAGTTGCTTAGTGCAAGAGGGCACCTTCCATATATTCCCGGTAATTACAGTACCAACACCCTAATTATCCATCTTCTTACACACATTAAGAATCAGTTGTATGCATAAACTATCATAAGAGTCCATAATGTACAAAAAGCTAGTATAACATTCCTTCCACATGCAGCAAGCAAAATTCGTCAACACATAAAAAAAAAAAACAAAGCAAATTGTCAACCCAACAAACATTAGTTGCATATTAATTAATCAAACAGCATCATAACCAGCTTCTATAAATACCTCCCTGATGTTGATGCTTCTTTCGCCAAACAAATCACCATCAGCTAAATAATCAAAATCTCATCAGTCGCAACAAAAAATGGCTTCTCGTGGCCTAATTCTCCTGACCTTCTCCCTTTCCCTAATACTGCTCTCTTGCACTAGCACCCAAGCCCAGCTCTCCGCCAACTTCTACGCCTCCACCTGCCCCAACGCCATCTCCACCATCCGCACCGGCGTCCGCACCGCCGTCCAGCGCGAGCGCCGGATGGCTGCCTCCCTCATCCGCCTCCACTTCCACGACTGCTTCGTCCAGGGCTGCGATGCCTCCGTCCTCCTCGACGATACCTCCTCCTTCACCGGCGAGAAGACCGCCCGCAACAACCGCAACTCCGTCCGCGGCTTCAACGTCATCGACGCCGTCAAGTCCCAGCTCGAAACCCTGTGCCCCGGGGTCGTCTCCTGCGCCGACATCGTCGCCGTGGCCGCAAGGGACGCGTCGGCTGCCGTCGGTGGACCCTCGTGGGCGGTCACCCTAGGAAGGAGGGACTCCACCTCGGCTACCCTGGCCGCCGCGGAGGCCAACCTCCCCTCGTTCAACGACGGTCTAGACAGGTTCGTAGTGACGGAATAAAAAATTCGAACTGGAGAAACTTATTTGAATTGTTGTGATTTGAGGAGGGAGAGTATAAGTCTTATCAACTATTTTTATTCCTAAATTTGAGCAAAATTTACATACTTAAATCGTTCATATTGATGGAAACTAAGAACTCAAGTTTCATTCAAATTTCAAATTAATCACTTTGACTAACAATTTTTACATGAATTATAAGAAGAAGAAGAAAAAAAAGTAATACGAACTAGAATGAAAGTACAGTAGCAATAAATACGTGAATATTTTTTATTTTCTTTGATGAAGGTGAAAATTTTATTATAACACAAACCAATTCTGGTGTGATGGTAGTAGAGAAAACAAACACGTACAAGGGTAGCAAGCCACACATGCCTTATTTTTTTTGTTAAACATGTCTAAATATTTACTTCCATAATCTTATCGTTTTGTTTTTCTTTACTTCACCATAACTCGGAATTAAATCTCATATATTTTAAAATTGAATGTACTACAACTCCTTCTAACTTCAACCTAACTCTACCACCGCAGGCTCGTTAGCTTGTTCGGCACGAAAGGGCTGAGCGCGAGAGACATGGTGGCTCTCTCCGGGTCCCACACCATCGGCCAGGCCAGGTGCGCCACGTTTCGCGGCAGGATCTACAACAACGGTTCCAACATCGATGCCAACTTTGCCACTACAAGGAGGCGGCAGTGTCCCTCGGCGGCCGGCGACGGAAACGACAACCTGGCGCCGTTGGATCTGGTGACGCCCAACTCGTTCGACAATAATTATTTCAGGAATCTGGTGCAGAGGAGGGGGCTGCTGCAGTCGGACCAGGTGCTGTTCAGCGGTGGGTCGACGGACGGGATTGTGAATGAGTACAGCAGGAACGGGAGGGTTTTCAGCTCCGATTTCGCGGCCGCCATGGTTAGGATGGGGAGTATAGAGCCGTTGACTGGTTCGCAAGGACAAGTCCGGCGTGTTTGCAGCGTTGTTAATTGATGGGATGGAGAACTAAAAGGGTAATGGTTATTAGTTCTTTGTGGTGTTATGTATGATTGTTTGTTTGCGTTTCAAGCTTTTGTTTGATTTGATTTATTGCGTTGGGAAGAAGACAATACGGCACGTCGAGTACTGTGTGTTAAGTACTATTTTTTCTTTTCGTCTTTGCAAGTGTAAGATGTATAATAATTATATGGAGTTTTTTTGTAATACCTCACAGAAATCTCATATCCACAAAACATGAGAAATCTATATTTTTTTTAAGAAACATACGATCTTAATATAAAAATCCAAGAATAACCATTAAGCAGGGCCGTCCCATTATATTCGGAGGCCCTGTTCAAAAATTTAAATGTGGCCTCAAATTTTTTCTCACAAATTTATTAAAGATAAAAATTATTAGATAATAATAAAAATTACATATCTTCAAAAAATTATTACAAATTAATAATATTATATATTATCAAATATTATCTACGCTTAGAACTACCTTTTTCAAATTTTTGGATTGATATGATTATAAATTATAACCAAAGATTAATGATTCCAAATTTTCATATAAGTTCTTTGCAAAAGAAAAGGATAAATATTAGAACTTAAAACAAGTTGATTAAGAGTCTGGATAGTAGGGATGAGAACTTAATCAGAATTGGGTGTGAACAATTCATATTTAAACTTTGGATGATTTTGGGAAGTTGAGAAATTTTGGGGAAAGAGAAGAATAGAGGCGTTAAAAACTCTAATTGTTATTTAAAATTCAACAAATCAATGTAGTTTAGTGGTTGAATCTTCTTTTAATTAGAAGGAGGTTGATGGTTCGATTCCCGTCCTGCATCCTTGTACATGGAGCTTTTGTGTAGGCTTTGTCAGCCCAAGGGGGCCTCCATGGGCTTCGCTAGCCCAAGTGGGCCTCAATTCCCCTAGTCCTTGCCAGCCCATGTGGCCTCCAGACTCTTATGGATTATGTGGGCTTCGCTCTAGCCCAAGCAGGCCTCCAAAACATATGGATTATGGATAATGGGCCCCCAAAACTTGAGGCCCTGTACTGTGGGTCTGACCAGCACAGGGCATGGGCCGGGCCTGCCATTAAGCAAGTTGACTAATAATAATAATAATAAATTCCTCAGAATTTAGGAAGAAACTAGTAATTTAGACACTCTCATATTGTCTCATGTGGTATGTAAAGGTGTTAATTTAAATTCAATCGTATAGAGAAAACTGACACATTTTGCGTCTTGGATACAATTAATAGTTTATAATTTGCATCTTAATATCTACTATTTGACATTACACAAACTAGTAACAACTAACAAATAATACTAGTACAAAAAATACTTTTTTTTATAATGGCGAAAATATATAAAAACGGAAAAAAGGCAAAAACGTACAGGTCCAACAAAGACAAAGAAAAGAAAAAAGGAAAAGAAAGAAAGGGAAGGGATCATAAGATCTGATCCCAACTGCTAAACGAAAAGGAAAAAAAAAGTACAAAAATACTCTTTATTCTCCACCTTTAGAAATCGATAGTCAATGTGTAGTGCGATTAGAAAACATTATAGCTATTAAATCATATAAACAAGAAGCAACTTTTTTATCATGTGAAAATATGGTGTGGATCACTCGGGTGACCAACAAATCTACCCACATCAATCACCGACACACTATGTTTTGAATTAGTAGCGGGTGGATTGATGTCAAACTGTTGATTAATCAGGTGACTGCGTGCCAAAAACTATTCCTCAAATCAATTACACAAAATAGAAGTATATTACCAAAAATTGGTGACTAAAGTAGGTTTTAATTGAAATATACTACCGCATCCGTATACATCATGCCTGTAACTAACTAAACATCAATTGAAACAAAATTCCAAAACAGAAAACAAGCCAAAACCCATAAAAAAAAACACAAGGAGAAAATATTTATAAATATTAACTCGCCGGTACTCTAAACTGCGATTATTGAAACGACGATTAACGAACCACGAATAAACAAAGATATACTAATGATGAGAACGAAGCTTTAATTATATGCTAGCTCTGCCGCCCCCGCGCGCGTCTTGGAGTAACTCTAATCTGTGAAGAGATCAATAAAATTCCAGACCCGTGGACCGACCGATCGAACTATATATTAATCCTTGCTCCAGTCGTCGTCTTCAACGGCCAGCATTGACTAGAGCGGGAGGTGGTGGTGAGAAGAAGAATAGGGAGAGTAAGGGGATCCCATGAGATACGACGGCGGGTTCCTTGACGGGGTCAACGGGGATATCGGCGTTGGCGGCCCCGATGACTTCATGCCACGGTGGCCGCCGCCGCCGCCCTGCTGGCCGTACGCCTTCTCGCCGCTCTTCCTGGGCCCTTTCTCCGCCCATTTCAGCTCCGCCTGCTTCATCGTCCCCGGGTATCGGGAGCAGCACCCTGTCGTCCCTGCTTTCTTTATGTACCTGCATTCATCACCCAATTAAAAAAAAAAAACACTTGTGAAAAGCGAATATTGATGTAATATGAGTGTGTTTGAGGTTAGCTCACACAACATTGGTTTTTTTTTTCTTTTAGTTTATATATTGTGCCTCTTAATTGGTTTTTCCCTTCACCTTATATTATATTTGGAATTCTAAATTGAAATTTGAATATTCATGTTATATGAGTTTATCTGAATTTTTATCGTAACTTGATCTAAATGTTAGCTGTTGTTTTGATATAATGTTATTCCCCACATATGAGATTTAATATTATTTATAAATATACGAATAATATATTGACTAACTTTTTCATAATTCTATACGAAATAATCACGCTAAAGTTATGGGATTATTAACTCTCAGCCCACTTGCCTGACAGAGCAAACGTGCTAAACCCGGTTGACAACCTTGGTGCTTATGCCTATATTTGGCCCAACTTTTAGAAGTGTTTTAAAAAACTCAAGTCGGGTCAAACACCTCTACAAGCTCGCTTTTAAAAAACTGAAAAATTTTATTTTATAAAATAAAAGGAAAAACTCCGATTTGGAGATTCTACGAAAAATTGTTTTGATTCTTACTATTTTTTAACATATTTTGAGGAAACATACTTCTCTTTCGTTTGTAACAGTTTTAAAAATAAAATAAATCAGGAAATAATATTATATACTGCAAAATAAATTCAACAAAATCCATTTTGATTATCTTTTAAGATTTTATTTAACTTGTGCTCGTATTTTAAATAAGAAAACTTTTTTTATCATTTTATATGACCACTTATATTAAAAAATATTTTTTCAGTTAAACACTCCATCAATTTTTTAGTAATCCTTTTCTAAAAGTTCCAAAAAGAAGTTGGTTTTACAAAAGTTATGCCAAACTAGTATATGACAAAAGGAAAAGCGTGTTATTCTGTCGCACATTGTGTTCGTTTGTACAAGGCGGCCAATCCATACGGGAATTTGGACAGACAGACAGTTAGGCCGGCCGGCGAAAGGAGAGGTTGTCTGTTGTCTGGTAGCTAGTTGGAAAGTCATTTTTCGGCCGTATCTCTACAATGGCGGCATGCGGGTGCATGTGTGGGTGATATTCACAAAGTCTGAATTCTTCAAACCATGAGATCAACGGACCACATCTGGCATAACGTTACAATGCCGCAAGCAAAACCCAACAACTTGCCAAACTGTATATTTTATGATTGCTTTCTTTACTCTTCTTGTAGATGGCATGTTTGTTGACACCAAAGTTAGAATCCAAATGCAAAAGATGTTACCAATGTTGTATGTAAGAATTACCCTTTATAAAGCCTCGAGTCATGAAAAATGAGGGAAAGGGTAAGTAATTAGATGATTTACCTGGCACTAAATCTTCTGCCTTGACACTCGATGCATTTTCTCCCCTCTGGCATATTGCCCATTCCCATGTCCACGCAGTTCCTGCAGTACACTCTCCCACAAACCTGCAACCAACCATCAACATGTCACCCATTTGCTTTCTTACATCCAATCTGATTCGAGAAGGGGACAATCAACATATTTGCAGTTGAACCCTCTCAAATTTATACAAACCAATCTCACATTGTGCATGATAATCATCTTACTGTTAATGTTCGTAACAGTTCGATTGTGAAATCTCTCCACTCAAAGCATTATACTAAACATAAAAAAAAAATGACTAACATTATGTCAATCTATCTAAAGTTATCAAAAGACTTCAAATGATAAATCTTATATAAAAGTGCAGGGATACTAATTGTTAACGAACAAAACATTTAGTATTAATAACTCAAATTATTAAAAAAAAAGTTAATTATATAAATCAATCTTATATCATTCTCTTACACATCATCCATTAAAAAAAAACCAACTCAGGAAATCATTCTTACATCGTTTCCCTACCTTAATAACAAAAGGTTGGAGCAATGAATTGTATTAATGGATAGCTTTTGAATTACTTACCAGGCAGCGGTTCTTGAAGATGTAGATGTAGGTAGAACAAACGGTACAGATATTGGAATGAGGGATCCCCGGCCTCCGCCCTTTCCCCATCACGTCATACGCCGGCGTCCCGCCGCTCGTCGCCATGCTGATCCCGCTCACGTCATAAGGAGACATCGGATACTGCTGCTGCCGCCGCGAACCACCGTAATGATGCGCCGCCGGCGTACCGCCACCCTGCTGCTGATAATGACGACCCGACGCGGCAGGGCTGATCATCCCGTGCGGCGAGCCCATCAGGCTAGACTGCCTCGAGCTCCTATTGTTGTTATTGTACCCATCGTAAGACACGTCCGTCACCGCCGGCGACGCCATCCGCGCGGAGCGGGGCTCCTCCTCCTCCTCGATGCGGGCGGCTTCGAGGCCCCGGTTGAAATCGAGGGAAGGGATCTTGTTCAGGGAAGGGATTCTCGAGGGGACGACGATGGCGGCTCTGTTGGTGTTGTTGACCATCATCTCCTGCAGGGGACCGGAGGTCGGCTTCAGTGGACGCCGCCGGTCGGTGCTCCGGTCCATGGAGCCGGATTTCTGCTGGTCGACTTTGCCCATGTCCTGATATAATAAGGAATATAACTCTGTAAAATTAACGGAACACAATACTCGCGTATTACAACGTAATACAGCTCGTATTAAATGACTTCTGTGTGTGGCCACCGATAGGTCTGTAAGTTCGTATTAAATGCTCGCAGGATTTGTTGGGTATCTTTGGTGTTGAGATTAGCCATGGCAAGACAGATTTCTTTTGGTATTAAAAAAAAAAAATACTACTCGTACTACCCATACCTGAAAAGTGAGGTTGACAGACTCGTCCGGGATGCCGGAGTAGAGCTCCTCCAGCTCCATCCTCGCCATTGCCACCGTTCTCTGCTTGTTATCCCCCATTGACACCTTTTCTTTATGAATTGTTTTGTGGGGGTTTTTGGGTTTGGAGATTATGGGGGTGATTGTTACTGTGGAGAGAAGAGAAGGGAGGGTTGGATATATATTTGGAGATGGGTAATGGTGATTTGGTCGAGAGAGAAGAGAAGGGAGAAGGAGAAGGGGAAGTGAACATTGGAAGTGAAGACGGTGGGAAGAAGACAAAGAAAAGGTGGGGAAGGTAGGCCGGACGAAACGAATGTTGAGAAATTTACAGTTTTGGAATCGGCAAATCCGTTTGGAATACAAAGCTGGCTGTTGCTGGCTGGCTGGCTGGAACATGTTACAATTGTAGAGCTGACAGTGGGCTCTCGATCGGCTTTGGTACTTAGCTGCTAGCTAAGTGGAAAAAGTGGAAACTTCCGTTGGGATGTTTGACAAAATTAGGTCTTTGTACATAGGATATACTAGCTGACCAGGTCCACAAAGCTAATCACGCTGGTCTAGGCATCAATAATCACGATTTTTTAGAGAAAAAAAATCTATGTGATATTTCTGGATATTAATTAATCGTGATGATTGGAGGAAGTTTTTGTTTTCGAAATTCCTGTTGGATTTTTCTATTAAATTAACTGGCAAAATAATGACGAGGAACCGGCTTTCAAAAATTACAAAAATACGATTGTGTGTCCAAATTTTTATTGTTTGTCTATCTATCGTGGTAAATTGCTTCTGTGAGTATAAAAAATGTAATGATTTTGTAAGAAAATATTTTCGATACCAGAAGTGAATGATAAAAAATCATTGGCTCATAATTGTAGAAAGTATCGAGAAAGAGAAAGTGCTTAAATCCTTGAAAAATCTTGGGACTTGACTTGTTTAACGATTCTCTCTGGTACCTGGAGAAGGGTTTAGCCATAGTGTAGTTGGAGGGAAAAAATATGTGACTGCCCATCTTTTCTTCAAGAATTAACCACCCCGCATGTCCCGTTCTTATGGATGTAAGAGAGTTTAGGTTTTAGGGTCTTCTTTGTTATATTGTTGTTGTTTGCTTGTCGGTGGCCGGCATAGGGTTGCAAAGGAGAACTCGGTGAAGGCAGCAGACGTTTGTGTCTTCGAGTGCATTACTAAGGTGGCCTAATGTCATGCACTGCACTCCCCATGAACATCTGGCTTTCAATCGATTTAAATGGCCCGAGGTCGACCTCAATATCATCACAGGTCGACCTCAATAAGTTTAGCACAAATAACTCGAATTTTTGCCTTCATCGGTCGACCTCAGAAGCATCATAGGTCGACATCGGCTAGTTTGAAACGAGTCTGAAATGGCCCAAATGCTTTCAATGTTGAATGCAAAACAGATCCGGTCGACCTCATAAATAGAAGAGGTCGACCAGAGCGACCTCAGAAGCTTCATAGGTCGACCTCGACTAAATTGAAACGAGTCTGAAATGGCCCAAATGCTTTCAATGTTGAATGCAAAACAGATCCGGTCGACCTCATAAATAGAAGAGGTCGACCAGAGTTAGTTTCGCACATATAATTCGTAAGAGAATGGCAAAACTCGAACTTTTGCCATCATAGGTCGACCTCAGAAGCATCATAGGTCGACCTCGGCTAGATTGAAACGAGTCTGAAATGGCCCAAATGCTTTCAATGTTGAATGCAAAACAGATCCGGTCGACCTCATAAATAGAAGAGGTCGACCAGAGTTAGTTTCGCACAAATAATTCGTAAGAGAATGGCACAACTCGAACTTTTGCCTTCATCGGTCGACCTCAGAAGCATCATAGGTCGACCTCAGCTAGATTGAAACGAGTCTGAAATGGCACAAATACTTTCAATGTTGAATGCAAAACAGATTCGGTCGACCTCATAAATAGAAGAGGTCGACCAGAGTTTGTTTCGCACAAATAATTCGTAAGAGAATGGCACAACTCGAACTTTTGCCTTCATAGGTCGACCTCAGAAGCATCATAGGTCGACCTTGGCTAGATTGAAATGAGTCTGAAATGACCCAAATGCTTTCAATGTTGAATGCAAAACAGATCCGATCGACCGCATAAATAGAAGAGGTCGACCAGAGTTAGTTTCGCACAAATAATTCGTAAGAGAATGGCACAACTCCAACTTTTGCCTTCATAGGTCGACCTCAGAAGCATCATATAGGTCGACCTCGGCTAGATTGAAACGAGTCCGAAATGGCCCAAATACTCGTAGAAAAACGTCACAGGTGGACCTCAATATCATCACAGGTCGACCTCAGTCTATAAAACAGGAATAAATCGATTGAAAGCCAGATGCGATCGACCACGAAGATGAAAAGGTCGACCGCATCTGACGAACAGAAGGGTAAATCTCTCTTTTGAAGCTATAGATCTAAATAAAAACCCAAATACTCGTAGCAAAACGTCACAGGTCGACCTCAATATCATCACAGGTCGACCTCAGTCTATACAACAAAAGAAAAAATTGATTGAAAGCCAGATGCGATCGACCACGAATATGAAAAGGTCGACCGCATATGACGAATAGAAGGATAAATCCCTCTTTTCAAGCTTATATAAAACAGGAAAAAATCGATTGAAAGCCAGTTGCGGTCGACCACGATGATGAACAGGTAGACCGCATCTGACGAACAGAAGGGAAAATCCCTCTGTTCGAGCTATAGATCTAAATAAAAACCCATAAAATCGTAGCAAAACTTCACAGGTCGACCTCAATATCATCATAGGTCGACCTCAGTCCATTAAACAGGGAAAAAATCGATTGAAAGCCAGTTGCGGTCGACCACGATGATGAACAGGTCGACCGCATCTGACGAACAGAAGGGAAAATCCCTCTTTTCCATCTTTAGATTTTTTCAAAACAATCTAATCTACCAAAGAAGAAGACAAAAATCGAATCAAATGTAAAGAAGATTGAAAGCTATACCTTGTTCTTCTTCTAAGTGATGAGGATGAAATGAAATAGAGGTTCCTTTGAGTTTTTGGAAAATGGAGATTTTGGAAATTGGAGAAGAAGATGAAGAAGGGAAAGGAGAGGAAGAATGAGTGGATGTGGTGGGATAGAGTCTGATTGTGGTGTAGAATGAGTGGGGGAGGGTTTCTTAAATAGAGGATTGGGGGAGGTTTGGGTGGATGTTGCAAACAAACCGGTTTGGTCGGCCGAATTAAATACGCGGTCGACCTCAGTAACTTGTTCGGCCGACCGTTTATGGTCAGGTCGACCGTTATTTGTATGAGGTCGACCGTTTTATTGCTATTGTTTTTTTTCAACCAACAATCAATTAACTCATAAATTATTAAGATAATTCGAAGAAAATCCAATGCAATCACAATTATAAAAAAATAAATAAACTCCTAAAAAACAATAGAAGAAATTTAAGATCCTTTTTGGGACTTTGTTTCGGGCACTTAGGGCGAAAATGACCATATTTCCCACATTTCGAACACTCTCTTAAACTTTTGCCCGATGCAGTTCGTGCTGACTTGAATGTCCCCTTGGTCTTCCCAATTTTTGGATCTTTCACACTTAGAAGGGGTGCTGGAGAGTTTGCCGGTGTGATGTTGTCCGTTCTCTCCCTCGCAAACTCAATTGCCCATTGAGTTAGGTCGTCCAACGTCTTAGAGACATGATTAAAAGCAGCTTCACTACCACACGCAATGTCACACAAACGCTTACACTTTAGAGCCAATCCTCCATGTCTTATCAGTCGACCAACTTTCTCTCCCACATCACCTCCAACTCTAGGATGACGATTTAGTGTCTTCGCATTTTGGGTCCATCGAAGCTTGAACCACGAGGAGGGTAGTGCGGTGTATCCCATATTTTTTATTACTGTAAGCATATGTCTGCATGGAAACCCCTTAGATTCAAATAATGCACACTCGCATTTTAGATCTTGATTGAACGTAGTAAATGTTAACCGCCTTATCCGATCTGGGTTCATGTAGTTCTTCAGAATGAATGTCTCTGTCCCATCTGATTCATTTCCTCTCTCCGCTAATACATAAGAAACTTCATTCTCTAGTTCAGACTTGAAGATAGCAAATGTACGATGTGTGTAGATACTTTCAGCTTGCATTTCCCAAGTGCGAAGGGCATGCTTGCAGATCAACCTCGTGTGCCTAGAAGTATAATCATCCTGCACCTCCGTGAAACGCATTCCCTCCAGTGCTTCATCAATGTCCTGAACAAAACGTTGCAAGCTGTATTGAGTTCGCACATACCCATTTATCCAATGGTTACATGACTCACATCGCGAGGTTGATTGGAGTCTACCGAAATAAATATCCTTCAAGTATGCCTCTACCCACAGTAATTTGTCAGCGTACAAATCCCGCAACCACTTATTTGCAGACAAACCATGCTCACTAATTAAATGCTCCCAACGCCTCTCAAACTCCTCAATCGATATACGTGCTTTCGCCAAGTAAGTGAATGCGCTAACGAACTCCTTATTATGAACGGCCGTTGTCGCATTTGTCTCAATATGCCAAATACACAGACGGTAAGGCACTCCAACCAGAACAGTAGCAATGGCACCACGCATAGACTTGTCTCCGTCTGTGATCACTGAAGTTGGCATCTTAGAGTTCATACACTCCAGAAAAATATTCAACAACCAAACATAGTTGGGGATTGTCTCGTTGTCCAACTGGGAAAAACCATATATGATGTTACGGTGGTGGTGATTTACACCAACCATCATAACAAATGGTCGATTGTACTTGTTGCGCTTGTAGCATGCATCGAACGCCAAGACATCCCCAAAAAAATGGTAATCTGCTCTAGATGTGGAGTCCGACCAGAAGAGATTGCCTAATTCACCTTCATCGTTGGTTGTGTACTTGAAGAGCTGCCCGCATCAGAGGTATGTTTACTTTGCAAGTAACCCAATGTTCGGTTAACATCTCCTATTAGATCGTCGTCAACTGTTCGGGATTGCTGAACAACATTGTCCATATCCTTTGGAGTGTACCCCAGATTCTCATATACTCCAACTTTATTCTTCATGAACTGAACAATGTTGCGTTGTTTTATTCCTGACTGTCGCATCCCTATCGTCAGAGCCTTGTCTCCTTCACTC